TTGAGGTAAATTAATTGTATTTCGACTAAATTTCATGGTATAACAACGTTGATTTTACCTTCATTTTGAGTACAGGATGTAAGTTGAAGAAGCTAATAAGTCTATCTCATCATAAGACTCATTTCTTCTAGATCTACTGCTATTTAGTTATCCTGTGACATTCAGGTTGATGAAGTACTCGAGAAATCCTTCTTTGGTTATGGTTAAAACGCACTGGGCTTATATCCGTCATTAAGCAAGCATGATCAGAATAATAAAATATTATTAAGTCAATCCAATTGCACTATTTGATTATTCATTTCACTCTGAAGCAATGAAGGCACTTCTCAAGGCCAAGTAGCCACATTCTCTAACATTTTCAATTTGTTTATTAACAATATCATTTAACCACAGTTAATTACCTCATGTGAATCCGAGTTAAGAACGCACATTGAATGAGGTAGTCCAGCTGATTGGTCTTGTGATCCATGACGTTTAGAGATCGAGTGAGTGAGCGAGAGAGGACAGTCGGCCAGAAAGTAATACTTCGACGACCTCCGAGTGGATGAGCGAGGAACCGAATGCAATGACTGTTTGTGGTGAGTATAATGATAATGAAGTTGGTTGTGAAGACTAAAAGAGGTGTGATTATAAGCAAACCGATGTAAATTATTATGATTAAGAGGACCTATTTGCTCTTTGTATTGACCGAACGAGCGGTTGAGATAATTTGGCCCAAAGGCAATTTCCTTGCTGTTGCTTGCAGTTAAATGGGAGAATGTAGGCTGTAATGGCAACAGTAGCATTGGGCGACATTGGCCGGGCAGCTGGCTGTTAAACATCTGACCACGAGTCGAGAATCCGTCAGTGGGGCGAGAAAAATCCGAAGTGTGTGAAGGCCCGAGTGGGGCCGAATCCGACGACTTTGAAGAAAACTCTGAAGATGTTAAAGAGGAGGCCCCAGCGGCCGAGTTACGAAATCGCACCACGTCGGATGATATCAGGTAGAGTGGGTCAGAAGCAGTTTGCCTGGGATAAGTGTCTACAGACGATGAAGAACATGGCGAAATGCATGGGAAATCTGCTATTGAAGAGGCAAACTCATCCTTAGTGAAAGAAAAAACATCCGGAGAATAGATAGGATCAATTTCAAACTTAGCTGAGTCTGGAATCTCGGGATTTTGTCTCACTAAGTTGGAGACTTTATCTGAGATTTCTGCCGCCGGCAATGTATGGCTCACTTGAGATGTACTTACAACATTATCAACTAAATCCAGACGTTTAGCGTAGATAGCAGAGTCGTTATCGGACACAAGAGGGGTATCGGGAAACATTTCCACGTAGAGAATAACGGGCACACCAAGGCCAATAGAATAAGCGGCCTAAAGGAAAAGGAAAAGAAGAGGTTATTTAGTGACCAAGTTAGAAAAGCATTAATAAAAAGGTCCACATATTTGACTCAAGGGGAACAGGTAAATAAGAATTAAAATAAAACCCTACCAATATGACCAAGTTGCGAAAACAAGGTCAAATAACTTCTATGCTAAGCGATAGTTCAAAAAAGACTATGTCGAAAATCGAGTCCCGTCAACACCAAATCAAA